AAGGTAAACGTTAATCCTGCTTTACCATGGTAATTCCATGTCAGACGAATTACTGAGGTATCAGTGCTGTGCCTTCTGTTCACTCCCGTGATTGTGCCTCAAATTGTCATGCGAGAGTATGATTTCAGTTGTTGGAAAAGCAGGAAATTGCCTCTGTGTTTGAGACTTGTGTGTGTTGCCAACTCAGGGGCACATGAGTTCCTTGTATGTAATAGAGAGAGCTGGGCTGAGAGGCCTCAGAGGTAATTTCATACCGTTGGCCTGACAGTCTGTCACAAAGGCCGTGAGCTTTTATATGGGGAGGTGGAGTTATTCACAACAGTGCTGAATTCTGTGCCATGGCTCAAAGCTCTGGTGCAGAATTGCAAATGGCTGGTTGAGCCTTTGCTCTCGGTTTGCTGCTGCAGGTACCTGCCTGTTCCCCAGCTTATTTAGCAGGAGGGAAGAGAGCAGAGATGAGTGATGCACAGGACATGTCCCCAGCATGCTTCTGTCTGATGCCAAGATTTGACAAAGGCTGCAATACTGCAATCCTAAGGAAATATATGAGTATCTGGGTATATAGCAGGGACTTGGGCATGATTGTATTGGGCACTGACAGCTTTAACACATTTGCTTTGGTTGTGTCTCCCAAAGCCTGTTCTAATAACTGTGGAAATGATGAAGGGGCCCTTAAAAGGGCTTCATCTGCATTTCCCACGTACTTTCTTCACGCTTAACTAAAACCACCCTGTGAACAGCAAAACATAAGGAAAAATTTCAGGAAAGATTTAATTTTTTAGGAAAGGTTTCACTTGTACCATGTAAGTGGAAAGAAATTATTATATAATCTAATGAGAGTAATTTTTGAGCAGTACTTCTAATACAGAGGAGGTTCCGAAATTTAATGTATCACTAGTATGGAAGGAAAACAAGAACAAATGTATGGTTTCACCTAGCCAGAAAAGCACTTGCAGGGCAGCAGAAGGTGACAGGCAATGTCCCTGTGCACTTGGCCTCAGAAGCAATCAGTCAGGAGATGAAGGGGAGGGAAGTAGCTTCAGACTTTTGAATTGTGGCAGTACCCAGTGCAACCACCAATTGCAATTGCCAACGCACTAACACTTTCCTGATTTTCCTGGAATTAATGTTTATGTAAGCAAAATTGGTTCATCTGGGGCATAATCATATTGTTGCACTTTTCAGATCAGATTCATGTGAAAATGATGACTTGGAGCTTGCCTGCAGCATGTGCTGCAGATCTGGGCTGGTGAGCACACCCTCAGGAGCAGGTGTTTGTGTCCTGCCTGATGCAGTGTCCTGGGGTTCCACCTGGCAGTTCTTTGGTGGAAATACGGAAAAGCTCTGCACGGTTCTGAATGTTGTATAATGTGGGAAATGGCAGCCAAGAGAGTGTATGTCCCCGATTCAACTGGTGCTAATGTATTGTCATTCTTTAAAATTAAGATTTTTAATAACTGGAACTGGATGGATCCTTCTGTTACCTTGTCAGCTTCAGTACAGACATCTCTGAAATAACATGCATAACCGTAAGAACTTTTTCACTTAGTGTATAGTGCTCTTCTCTGTTTGGGGCTGTCAGACTAGCACAATGTATTGTTCCTTTGGGAAGAAGGGAGGCTTTCGAAGAGTAAGTATCTGGAGTGTTTCCTAGAGTAAGTGTGTCTCGCTTCTTCATTGAATTTTTTTACAAAAATAAAACCCCTATATCTGAAAAATATGAACCTCATTAATTACAGAACACTGTGTGCACCTCTAGTAAGAGCAAGGAGATGGAGGGGAGGAGCCTCTAGCTGGAACAGTTTTTAGACAGCAGTTGCCCCCCTTGGATTGGCAGCATGATACCTTCAGTCAGGTGCAATGTGTGACCTTGCGTTGTGCTTGTAGGCTGTTGCACCATGGAGTAAAACATGTCTGCCTAAAGCCTCTGGTGTTTGTTGGCCTTGGGTGCCATCCACAGTGTGTTTCCTGCTGTGCTGCAATATGTACAGTTACAGTACATAAAAAGCTGTTCTTGGGGACAAACCACCTTTTTCTTGGTTGCACCTAGCAGTTTTTGGCAATTTTGACTTCATCAGCAATAACTTCTGAAGTTACGTGGATTTTGTGTTGTGGACAGTGGGAGGTTGTGAGCTTGATAAGCTGACAGGTTGTTATTGGCAGTCCACTTGAGCTTCTGATGGAATTGAATCTTCAGCATTGATTTCCTTAAGTTTTTGGAGCTTTTCTGGGCTTCATGAGGTGCACTACTCATCATCTTCACCTTCTTGGCTAGGAAAATAAATAAGGTCAAACAATATTAGAGCATTCATCTGTCACGCTCCAGGAGAGCCTGTCACCTCCAGAAGAGTCTTGTGACAACTGTGACTCCATGGGAAGCCCACACTGGAGCAGGCTCCTGACAGGCCCTGAGAATCCATGGATAGAGAAGCCCAAGCAAGAGCAGATCTGCTGGCAGGACTTCTGACCCACAGTAGGGAACCCCCAGTGAAGCAGACTGTTCCTGAAGGACTGCACCCGTGGGACAACCACTGCTGGAGCACTTTGTAAAGAATTGTAGCTCATGGGAAGGGTTCATATTGGAGAGTTTTTAGAGGACTGTCTCCCAGGGAAGGAACTCCACACTGAAGCAGGGGAATGATCTCCCTGAGGAGGAGGTAGCAGCAGGAACAACATGATGAACTGACCATAACCCTCATTCTCCATCTCCCTGCACTGCTGAGTGCGGAGGAGGTAGACAGTTGGGAATAAAGTTAAGCCTGGGAATGAGGGGAGGAGTGGGTGGAGTGTGTTTTTTAGGATTTGCTTTACTTCTCATTAGCATGCTGTTATTTTGATTGGTAATAAATTCAACCAAGTCTCCTAAATCAAGACTGTTTTGCCTGTGGTTTTAACTGGTGAGTGATCTCTCCCTGTCCTTTTCTCAGTTCATGAGCCTTTTGTTATATTTTCTCTCTCCTGCCCAGCTCTCTTCAGAGGGAGAGAGTGATAGAGCAGCTTTGGTGGGCATCTAGCCCAGGTCAGACCACCACAGGATTTTTTTGGGGGCGTGTCGTGATGTCTGATGTCTGAGAGTGTCAGGAGTGGCCAGCAAAGACTCTAAGCCTCAGTCCAAAAATGGGAGGAAAAATAATGGCATTCTTGCACACCCCTTAGGTTGTATTCATGTTTGTTGGCAGTGATTAATGATTCCTCTAAAGGTAAAAGTTGCAGTGTCTAAGTTGACAACTTTGCATGTTAACCGTGCTACAAGTTGATGCGAGTCTTAGGGCTGTCTTGCTCTGCCACAGTCCGTTTACCCTGTTCATTTGTAGCTGAAACCAACAAACAGCCCATCAGGGTGCTCACATCTGTGAGTGTTATGTGCTGGATCTGGCTGGATCCAGTACCAAATTTGGAATGGTGATGGAGGAATTTGCTTTGCTGTGGTTGCTGACAGTCATTTTTCAGCCCTCTCCTGAAGTACAGCAACAGTTTGCCAGATGTGCACAATGTCAGCATGCTCACACATGTGGAACAGGTAAACAGGGTTTCCAGGCCTCTGATCTTCAGATACAGCCATTGATTTGGATCTCAAAACCCACACTGCTGCTGGTCCTTGAATGGAGAGAGCAGAAAAGGTTCCTGTCATACTGCCCTTTTGGACACACTAGGGATACATAGGCAAGGACATACGTCCTGCACCAATGGAAGTGGCTGGTTGTCAGTGTAAGCTTGCCTCCTCAGTGTCCATGTGCAGGTACAGGAGAGTCCTTATTGATTAATTCCTTACAGATCTGTGGTTCCTGTAGATCAGTTAGTTAACCTGTCAGCACAAATCCTCCAGACCCTGGTGTCAGAAGCATCTGGGCATAACAGAGGTCATGTATGCTGCACATGCGCATTGTAAGTCCACCTAATCATTTGCCAGGCAAAAGCTTCTCTAAAACCTTGCCCTTGGTATAAGCACTGCATCTTTTCTATTTTAAGGAGTATTCAGAAGATCAGGATAGGCAGACAGATAATATAATCACAGAAAGGCCTTCTCCAGCAAGTGATGATAGAAGTCCTTTGTGTTGTGATAGTGCCTGTGTATTGTGCAGAAATTTCACTTCCTTAAATGGAAATACACCAAATACTTAATTTTTCTCTTGCTTTCATAATCTTTCAGCAGATTCAGATATCTGTGTTTGAAAGTGTAAAGCTAACTGGTCGAATGAGTTTGGTTGCTGCATCTTGAACATTTAATTTTTCCTTATGCTCTGGCGTCTGTTATTCTTTAGCACAATCACGCTGAATATCAATTAGGAGACAGGAGGATGAATGTGGAAAACTTGGTGAGGGGGATGCTATGCTGACTGGGATTTTGGCTATTGTGAGTGGGGATGCATGTCTGCTCTGAACACTTTCTGAACTTTAGAAACTCTATAGTATTAAACTACATGTGCTCTGCAGCAACACAAGATTTTGAGATCCCTGTGATTTGCATTCCTTTCTCCAAAATAATAGTAAATGGTCTCTTCCACGGACAGGAAGACAAGACAAGTGGTCAGTGCCAAAGTTATTTAGCAGATGGTGCTTCAGTAGTGAGCAACATCATCATCATTTCAAGTGTAAGGCATATAATAGATGTCTACCGGCCCGGCAGATGAGACCCCTGGAGTTACTCTCATGCATCCATCTCCCATCCTGCAAGATGCTGCCATCTGTCAGGACACTGAGCCAGGCCTCACTTAAATAAATAAAGAAATCTCTTTCCCATTTCTTTCCAAAGCACTTGCTGTTGCCTGGGTTAATACGCTCTGTGTGGGCTTACGTATGTCACACATGTGAGGGAGGAGGAAACATAGATACAAATACGAGGGACGCGCCCTTGGGTTCTGTCACTTGGGGCAGGCAATGTTAATGCATGGTACACCTTTTCAGAAGAACATTCAGTGCTTAAATGCCATTGAACACCAAGCATAAACAATAATGGCTCTTGCCATGATTGAACCTCCTGTTTCTCTTCCTTTTGGCAGAGTGTGACAAGCTGCGGCGGGATGGCTACCGGAGCTCGCAGTATTACTCTCAGGGCCCCACCTTCTCCTCATCCTCCAGTGCAATCTGTGGAAGTTACCAGGATGATTATGAAGAAATCGAACAAAAGGTAATAGTGGGGGGAAAAGCGCTGGAAAAAAACTTGTGTGGTGCAGTGTAATTGCCTGCCATAACACTGTTCAACTAAGGCAGGATGTTTAGAGGATCACAAAGATGTTTATTTCTTTGAATTGCAGTGACAGTAGTTCATCTGAATTTCATAGTGTCTTAAAACTCTCAATTTTACCCATGCAGTGATACACAGCTCCCACTGGCATGTTCAGAGTGTGAAAGAAGGGGTTTGGTAATGTTCTGGAGGGAAGACCCCAGCAAGGGTAGCTGCTAAATTGCAGGAAGAGCTATTCAGCAGCCATCAGCATATTGAATTGTAACTTGGATAGGTGCACACTTTGACTTGCTGATGGAGGTGGTTATTCAGTTAGGTAGGGGTTTTGTCCTAATGCATCACAACTGTTTAGTAAAGGCATCCAGAAAATGAAGATTGTCCAGTAAGTTGGGTTTATTGCCTTTCTTTCAGTTTACTTCATGGTTTTCTTGCTTATATCCCCACATCTCAACTCTTAGAATCTAGGAATAAATAAAATAAAGAGAAGGAACAGTTGATCACAAGTTTTAAGAAAGTTATGAAGCCATATTGCTTTGTACGTGAATTTATATGGATTTCAATTACAGAACTCCTAAGTTGTGTTACTGTTCTGAAGAAGAAGAGTTCTGCTCTCCTGCCTTTGTCTGTTGTGCCTGTAGGCTCTGAAGGAAAAGCTGACTGTGGTGTAGTGGTTTAGGATGTTACTGCTGGGGTGTGTGCCTGCCTAAAACTGAAATGCCAGAGCTCCTAGCATTTTCAAGAGAGATATTCTAGAATACTTTGCCAAAAACAGCTCTTGCTTCGAGAGTGGGAGGATATCCTTGATTGTAACACAGTTTAATTTCTTTGAATTGTTACTAAACCATATGTCCCTGTGGTAATATAAACCACAAATAATGCTAATAAAATAACTTCTATCAGCAAAATGTGCAGACCCTGAGAATGCACTTTAGTAGATACAGTGGTTTTGAGTTTTATCCTCCATGGGTTGTAGTCACATAATAAGAGGTATTGTGGAATATGTAGAGTCTCTTGTCCAGGTGGTGATTGCATTTTATCTGGTATTGGCAGGGAATGTCAGAGCATCTTGTTTAGCTGTGTGTGGTATGTACTGGCAGTGAGCCGAGAATGTAAAGCACATTCATACTGTGGAATACATTATAATGGTAATTTGCAAAACCGTGCTGAGATCACTGGAATTATGATTTCCAATGGGGAAAGTATTAACACCTTGTTTGTTGCTATTAACGTCCTGCACATAAATGCATACATATATGCCATCAACTTGGCCTGGCCAGTGCTGTGCAGCATAAAACCATCAGCATATGTAAAACTAATGTAACATTTAAAAAATACAAGTACACTTTTCTTTAAACAATTTGCATGAAAGTATATAAGCATGGGTGGGAATTCTTGGAGACTGAGAGCTGTCATCATTTCTTGGTTAAGGGTTTTTTGAGTGTTAACATAATGTGTTACTAACAATTTCTGTGCATTCTGGAGAAAATTAATGCAACTAAGTATGCTTTAAATATAGGATAGCACTTCCATTTCAAATTGGAATAGGTTCCTTTAAATATTGTAGCTGAAAGGATGATTCAGAGCTGTGGAGAAAGATAGCTGCCAAACTGACAGTCTTAGCTGTTACTGATTATGTCAGAACCTTAGCCTTAACCCTGCCACTCTTATTTCCAGCTCACAAAGACATAAATTTCTTGTAAACTGTAGCGTGATTCTCCATTAATATTGTATAACTTTCTTTTGTGGAATTTTTTGACCAGTATCTCTGTTTAATTGGCACTTCCTTTTTTTTTAATGCTGTAAATGTTTAATCTTTCTTTAGAAGATTGTTTGCTTTCTTTAGAATGTTTACCACAACAAATTTCTGACCTTGAATTATTATCCTACTGGTAAAGAGCCAAGTAATTCTAATAAGTCTTGTGCCTTGAGGGGGTCGTATTTCAGCTGTCAGGAGAGTTCTTCTGTAATAGTGTGGAACTGGGGTCACCAAAAATCCTGTGATTCAAAATGTGAACTCCTTATTGCTAGATGAAAGCTTTGTTGTCTATTTAAAGCAAAAAAGCCAACATTTAAATTCTGTGCATGCAGTGTTTAATAATTGAAATTTGAGAACAGCAAAATAATGATGGGTGGATGAATACATCTTTACTGTTCATAAACTTCTCGGTTGATATAATTGCCAACTTACAGCAAAAAAGAATGGGTGATATCACAAAGGAAACCAGCTTTCCCTGTTATTTTTAATCTGCTTCTAAAACTAAAAATCATAGCCAGATATTCTGCTTGTCTGTCTACAGTGGAGACAATATGAAACCATTGTTAGGTGTTGATCCACAAGCATTTTCAGGTTTTGTGGAGGTGGATGTCTGTCAGCAGAGGGTAATAGTCACACCACCAAGCACGTTGGTTCAGCGTCTTAGGAAGTGTCTAAGATAAGCAGAACATGTGCTGTTCCAAAGGAAAACCACTAAGGAGAAGCAGGCCCAACTCAAAAATGAATGAACAAAATTAGAAAACATAGAAAGCTGGAGTCTCTTGAGTGGAAGTTGATATAAAATAAAGTGTTTGAATCTGCCCTTTTAATGTTGATTCTTACAAGTTAGATTAATGGAGCACAGGCCAAGCTCCAGTGTAGTACTGATCCTAATTGAGTTTGTTGGTGATTAAATTGGTTTACCTGGATTTTACATCTCAATACTGTGGCCAGTCTTCTCCTTTCTTGTATCTTACATGCTGCTGTTGGTGACAGAGCTTGGGAGCTATTCTGTCCTTCAGTATTACTCTGTTTTACCTGTGTGAAAGATGTTTTGAAATGTTCATGTTCAAATTCCAGTTCTCCTTATGTTCTGAAATGTATGCACGTGTGTATTAACTGTATTTGTCTTTTGTGTGGTTTTTTTCTTACTCCTTTTTCTTTCCCTTTTTACCACTCATTCTCTTTGTTTCTTTTTGTCTCACTCAACAGTCTAGTCTGTTAGACTGCATCTCTCAGTCTTGCATTAGCGCCTGCTGTAACTTGGTTCCCTGGAAAAACAAGGTACTTTGCCCACAGGTGGGACCATCCAGCTGCCATATCTGCAGCTTGATGTTACCTGTAGTATTTAGCCTGTATGCAATCTTTTTCTGCTCTTAGCCTTCAGTTGTTATCTGCTGCTTTTTTCTGCTTAGAAAAAAACAAAAACCAATTAAAGAAGAGTCCCATGCCAGGTTTGCTTCTTCTGTGTTCCTCTGTACTCCTTTTTGTCTGCAGTACAGTAATCCTGTATTTGCTTGGTTCACAGAGTTTTTTATTCCCTTTTTTGTCTATTAACATTTGTCTCCTTTGAAACCCCTCCCCAAATGGACGTTGTGTTTTATTTAATTGGCTGCTTCATTGGCTTTTAATTAGCCAAGGAAAAACTCTACTAATGTGGAGGAATGTGTCTTTCTTGAATGATAAATGTGAACTACAGAGAATACCTACTCCCAAGCATGCAGTATTGCACATATTATTTCTTTATTCCATTTATGAAAATGTTTGTGCACTCAAAATTCATGGTGTTTTTCCCTGCATCATGTCATTTGGCTTAGGAACTTTGCTTTGATAGTTATGCTTTGGGTGAAGAAACACTTAACTTCCCTTATTGGAGGACAGGGGGTGTGGGATGGGGTGAGAGTGTATTTTTGCCTCTGTGATCATCTGAACTATTAGTTATCTCTCCAATTTCTGCACTAAACTGTTTAGTATCTTAAGTGGAAACAAGTGCTCTAACTGTATTGATTTGAGGAAGTCTAATGCAAAACTTTACTTGCTGCTAAGAGGAGGTAAAGTTGGGCACTTCAGTTTTGGAGGTGGGAATGCCTAAAAAGCCCTGAGGTGTAAGGTCTGGCAGAGCTGGGTGCTGGTGTCCTCAGGTGGCCTCCCTGCCCCTCTGCTGCAGTTGCATGGCACTGCTCTTGTAAGAGCACATGTATTTTATACTGTTTGCAGGGGTTTGATTTTTTAAAATACTGTGCCATTTACTGAGCTGAAACAGCTGCTCATAACACATGAAATGCCAAAGCATAAGGAGGTGAGTACAGAAAATTTTGAACAAAGAAAAGAGGGTAATTCTTCGCATACTAAGACTGTGCATGGTAAGGGGTAAATTGGTAAATTGTGGATGCTGAAAGTTTACATTAGTTTAGTAAGCAACTGGGTACATTCTTGAAGGGCAAGGACTCCATCCAATGCTGAGAGAATATTCAGGAAAAAGTATCTGCTCTGTGCATCCTCAGATTTAAATTTTACCTTGATACAATTCATTGGTCTTTATCTTAAGGCAAATATTAGATAGGCTTTTAGAGCTCCAAAAAGTACAGCTCTTCTTGTGGTTTTTATCCCATTACAACAGAGTAGAGGAAGAAGAAAATAACATTTCTGCAGTGCTTGTTTGATAGTCAGTAATTTCACTGACAAAATTTCTTTCCTTACTGAGACACAATGAAGGTTATAAAGTTAAGAATTTACTACGATAGCAGTGCTGGCTAGTGCAGCTGGAGATGTGTGTGTAGAAGTAATAAAATGGAATTGTCTGTGAAAACTGAGGGAGCTAGACTGGTGACCTTGGTCTAGAGGACACCAAAAAGAGTCAATGACTGATTAATCTAAAGCGTAAATTCATGTAAATTTATAATCTGGCAGTGTTCCATGAGACAGTGTGAAACCCCATGGGCTGAATTAGGCATGTGAAGTGCCATTCTCAGTTGGCTAGGTTTGGATCTTGGGTTTCTTTTCCCTGTTATTGGTTGTCTTGATCCCTTGGTGTTGGAAGAATGGCTCTTGAAGCCATCAAACCTTGTAAGACACTGGAGGCAGAAATAGGACATTGGCAAATATAATAGACAGCTGAACTCATATTGCTGCTGCCTGCAACACTGATTTTTTTTCATTTATTTTGTTTTTCTGATAAATTATGTGATTTTAGTAGACAGTAGAATAAATGACATGACTAGAAGTTGGAAGTCTCTTTGCTGAAAAGTAAAATTTGTATGGATTAAATTCTCCTGGAGGTTCCATCTTTTTTTAGATACTGTAGTATAAACGCCTGTTTTATAGAAAAGATTTAAAATAAACAGATTATTTAGGCAGAGAGTGTTGCAAGATACATAGCATAAACTCATTTGTCATCTGGGACCTCTCAAATAGCATGAAAGTGCTGAGATAGTGAAACTCTTTTGTTGTATCTCAGCAGCTGAGTTGGCTGGGGGACAATATGTCAACAAGGCGTCGGAGAGGCTCCAGCTCACTGAGCCATATAGCTTGTCTATAGGATATTTATAGGCCATTTTTCTCCTGGATTCTTATTTTAACTCCCATTTGAAGGTTCATGCTTTTTCCCCCCTAGTGCATGTTTGTGGAAACACTGCAAGGTCCAAGGCTGCTGCTTTCACATCCCACCTTTATCCCTTACCAGGTCTGTGCAAAAGAATGAATTCCAACAGATTTTCCTGTGGAGATGAGTGTAACAACCCATTCCAGGGATTTGGGCATTAAGACTGGCATTATGACTCAGAGATGCTTTAAAAATGGGATAAGTTATGATCATAGAGTTTATGATCAGCTATGCCTCATTCTGCTTCCAGTGTAGCAGACCTGACTAGAGAAGACATTCTTGTCACACAGGAGCAATTCACTGCATCTTCCAGCAAGCTTCCGTGCTGTAAATCTGGGAATGTTTGCTAAAATATGTAAATCTCATTTTCATCCTGATTAAAGAGGTGAATAATTTCTGTCTGAAGAAGGCTGAAAGATGAGTTGCTGCCTTCCTCTATGTGTAATAAAGCTGTGCACAGCTTTGTCATGCGTATACCATTGTCACTGAGAGTACTTTGGAAAAAAGGATATAAGTAGAGACAGTCATGTTTCTTCAGGATCCATGGAAAATGTACCTACAGTTGAAATGTGAACACTTATTCCTACACACAAAACCACTTACATCTCTTCTACTGAATTATTTTGTGGAAGTATGTGTATGTGTGCTGTGTCAGAAGGTTGTTCTCACTGACACTGCTTTGAACTCAACTGCACCATTGAGTTTTCAGTTGCTTTTCATTGGTTATATACTCATATAACCTGACTTATTTCTGTCTTCCTCCATCTGTCCCAAATTTTCTCCGCTTTTAATTCTACAAAATTTCTGATTGATGTTTCACATTCTTTGAAAAATTAGGATTCCCTTGTAGCAGATGCTTCACTTTTTCAGTTTTTCTGTTTGTGTACTGTAATAAAAAACCTGTTCTGCTTGGCTTGGGTAATTTCTTTGGAAAGGAGGCATGGCTTTGTAACCAGTATCTCTGCCTCTTAACGGACTGGAGTAGCCCTTGGAGACTGCTGCATGACAGCTGAGACCGGGCACTGAAGTGCAGTCTGAAGGTGACACTGATGCTGATGGTGTCAAGCAGGCAGTGCATTTGAAGGTCACTGGTGCTCATCCTCACCCCAGACAAACTACAAAATTGTGCTTCTCTTGGTCTCTCTGATTCAGGTGGACGAAAGCTCATTGTGGACCAGGGAAAGCAACACTTCTTTGCCTCAACCCTAGCTTACTCCTTCAAGTGCATATCCACATGCCTGCTGTGGCAGATGGGCTATCACCCCCCTGCCATGTTCCTAACAAACCCTTTCTCTCTCTCTCAATCACTTTTTAAACCTAACTGGGGGAAGCATGGCCTGGGGGCAGCTTTCGCTTCTTCAATGGCATGCCTGTCCCAAATTTCTTAAGTTAATGAAGGTGTTTATGAATTTGGGTAATTTGAGGTGGGAAAGTCCTTGTGTTTGTAAGTACATATATATGTGCCCACACTGTATATGTATGTAAACAATTTATGGACACACTCTCAAAAAAAGATGAGCACATTGTATTATTACTTGGGTTTAGAGCCTTTTAGAAACAGCAGAGGCCTGAAAAAGTACTGGTGTCCTCCAAGAAGGTTGTATTGATAGAACTGCCAGGGCTTTCACTGGGCTGAGCCCTTACCTACAGAGCAGTATCTATCCCTTCCACAGCCTCTGTAGGAAGAAAATTCAGGGCTGTCAGAAGTTGATTATTTCCTTGAAGAAGAGCTACCATGTTTTAAAGTGTGGTTCCAAACCACAGAATAATATTAGTAATGGTTTCATTGCCTGAAATGTTTTTTTAGAGTTGCTTGAACAGTTTCTACTTTTCTCTTACTTTTTGCCTGGAAGTGGCTTTTATTTTTATTTTCTATTTATTAAAGTGTTGGACTGTGTCCTAAAGAATATAGAGTCAAAGCATAACAGAATAAATAAATGGTTATTTATTTATTTATAAACAGTGGGAACTCCTCATAGTAACAGGAAGAAAATTAAAATCAGAAATGATACAGATGTTGTAGCACAGTGTTTGGGCATGTCTTTTGTATAGCACTCAGGTACTAGAGACAACAGATCACTTATTCTGAACACCCACAAGAATAAAAAATCCATCTGTTATAAATAGCTGTGATGTTTCCTTCCATGCCTGTGCAGCAGTGAGGGGGAAGAGGCAGTGGCCCACTACTGACAACCCTGTTCTGAGTAGTATTTGACTTTCCAAAGGGAGAGAGTAATAGAGAAAAGAGGGGGGTAATTCTGGTCTGGTGGTAGGGAGGAAGGTCCCAAAGCAAACTTTTCTGAAGCAGAGGAGTCGACAGGTTGCAGAGAAATCTCTGCTAGTGCTGCAAATGCTGTGCAGCTCCTCTTCCATGTTCTTTTTTTTGTTTTGTCTGGAGGCAGAAGGAGACTGTGATTGGTTTTCCTCCAGGTTTTCCTTCCTCTTCCGTTTCTGGGATTCCCTGGAGTGCCTTGCTGCTTCTCTCAGGTTCACTTGGGTTTGTGACCACCTGCTAGAAGCCCCAGTGATGGGCAAGTACTGTCCAGTCAGTAAAAAGCTGCTCCATGGCTTTCTCTGCCATTATTGTCATGCAGGCAAAGACCTAGTAATGAAAACAGATTTGCTTCCCAAAAGCCCAAAAGGAATGGGTTTTTTTGGCTTACAACTTTGGTGGAGGGATTTGCACAAGCTGCTGCAACCTGTTTTTCTCGTGCAGAAAGATTTTTGTTTTATTGGTTGGGTTTTGTGGTTTGTTTCCTTTTTTTTTTTTTTTCTTAAATAAAACACTTCATGGAATTGAGTGTAGCTCAAAGTGCCACTTTGAGAAGAACTGACTTTTAAAATTATTGTCTGTGGCTGCTAATAATATTAAGTGCTTTACCCCTGAAAAATGGGTAACCCCTTGAACTGTGGCATGAGTTTCTCCAAGACCAAAGCAAAATTACTTGCTTACCTCACTGATCCATTGATGATTCTGTGATGATTCTGTGGAGCGGGCTGATTGGTTCTTTTACTGATCTCTGCTAAAATCTGTCTTTTGGTAGCAGGATTCTTGCTGAGACTTTACACATCCATACAACCTAGTGCAGCTGGAGCAAAGCAGTGCTCAAATCTCATCTTCTAATAGGGCGAGGGGAAGGAAAGGCAAACCTTGGTGCAGGGAGAGAAGGGTTAATCACTGCAGTGTCAGTGTGTAAGGTGTAATTAGTTACTGTGCTTTGCTATGTGCAACACCACTCCTTTCTCCTTCATTGGTATATGTTCCTTAGACTAATCAAATGTCTTGGAAAAAATGCAAACTAGATGTTTTATTGTGCATTTTTTGTGTATGTTTAAAACTTCTCTTTATGTAGGTGAAAGTGTGATATTTGTGAGGGTGTGTTTTGCTCCACAAGCAATCAGTGCTGACTGCAGCAGCAACACCTTAGTAATACTACAGTCCTACCTATTTTTGTGAATAGTAAACTCACAGTGTTGTATATATTTCTGTTTTTAGTGTCCTGTCTCTTCCCCTGAAGAAGAAAAGCTTATTACCATCAAAAGGCCTAAAAGTCCAGCTACAAATGACTTATCAGATATCAACACTCAAACCAACTGGACTAAGTCTCTCCCACTGCCAACGCCAGAAGAGAAAATGCGACAACAAGCACAAGCCGTCCAAACAGACGTGGTTCCTATTAATGTGTCTGGTAGGCTTTTAATTTCAGTAATTTCATTACACTGATGAGGGAGGGCGGAGATGAAAGGGGATCCGTACAGTTGCCTAGACTTTTGACACTCATTTATTGAATGCATGAATTTTCAATTACTTACCACACCTTTCTGTGAAAACCATTTTGCATTTAGTAGTCTAAATCTGAACTTAATTAGAAAATATCAAAATCCCTTGAAATTGTCAATAATTTAGATAGTTAAAATATATGGGCTTGAAACAGCGTTAGATATTCACGAAGTGCAAGAAGATGGCTGATAAATAGCAGTGTTTTGCTGTGGGCTGCACTGAGGATATGTAATTGAAAATCATGTTCGTCCAGTATTGATGATATTGTAAGATTTTCTTCTAGGAATTTTATTTAAGGAGGGTAGTCAGGAACTTCTGTGTTCCAAAGACTAAATGTTACAAAAATCAAGAAAAAAAGCTCTAGGGTCTAATTTTTATCAGCAACAAAAGTTTTAGGTGTCAAGGGAGAGTAGGGTTAGAACAGCAAACGTTAATGATGGTAGCACCTTTGAGTAATACTCCATGTAAGAAATTCCACTTACATAACCATAGTCCACATCTTCTTGTTATGAACTGTGTATTAACTCTTCATTTTGAAAATGCTCTTTGATTTTACAGTTGCAGAACTCTGACTCTGTGGAAGTTAAATTACCTTAAAGCCTAATGCTGAATAGATACTTCATTGTGTGTAAAACAGAATTTCTGTCAAAGATGGAATTATCACTTCAGTTTAATAACTCCTTTTTTTCTGCACAGTATCAAGATTGTCTCTTATTAGTTAATTCAAATAACTGACTGCTTGCCTGCCAAAGCCAGGATGATATTCAATATCCAATTTATTTCAAATGCCATATGGCGTGCTCTGACTCCATGCTTACTCTGACAATCAATAGCTTGCAATGTTTGGTTTGTTTTGAAAGTAAATTAGGTTCTCTTTCCCTTCATGACTACCAATGCTTTTTTCACCTATATTTTTATAAACTAGTATTTTAATTAGTATTATTTAATAGTATTTAAATAATCTAGTAGCATAGGAACAGGACAGCTGTAGCAAACATCAGCAAGCTCTGAGAAATCAATAACAAATTATTCCTTAAATAGTAGAAAGTATTTGAAGTAAACAGGTGAAGACAACATGAAATTATGAATGCCCCACCTCTGGAAAACTAATAAAAGGAAAATACATGCAATCCTGAAATGTTACTAGGCCAGTGGATATTATCTAGGGAATTTAGGGTACAGATGCAGAAGGCAAGTTACAGGAACAACAGATAATCTGACATAATCAATAAGCTTGAGTAGGGCTTAGATACTGTGACAGCAGGAACACAGTTTTTACTTAGGGAAACAGTAATCTGTTGTTTGATTTAATGATCCTGCATACTGCAGAAGATATGGGAGAAGTCAACAGATGAGAAGAAAAATGAGGTGAAGGGATCAAATAACTCATAGAATGAATTCAGCATCATGTGGAACATTTCCTTGTTTGGATAAATTATGCTTGTGACTTCAGCCTGCATAATTTGATTGGTGTAGCAAAGCTTGTGTCCACTGGATTTTTTAGCCAGGACTCAGGAAACTCAGCAATTCTCAACTTTTGTGATAGAAATGGTGCACATGCATATTATATCTCACTTTCCTGGAGTGTGTGATTGAGCACTTACTCCCTTTTAAACATGGTAATTGGAAGAGATAGAAAGGGAGGGCATTAAAGGAAGACTGCTTTTACATCATGTGATCTGGTCTCCAGGATCCACCCTTCATTCCCCTTCCCTTGAAATAATTGTATTGCTACTGTGAAACAAGGCAAGCTTGTGAGCCACACACAACATACAGAAAAAGCTGCTGTCCTTGTTCCTTTTAAAAAGTCACAATCTGCTTCCCTCCTCTTCTCTCCCACTCACCGAGTAATTTTGTTTTGTGAAGTTCCTTATGTTACTGCACGAGGCAGGAAAAAAACTGACAAGAAATCCGGTGCCGTTTGTTCAACATAACACAGAACAAACCACTGAGGATTTTTGTTTTGATTTGGCTTTTTCCTTCACACACTCTTTTTCTTACTGTCCCAGAAGAGAGGTCAAAAAACTTCTGTTTTATTACTCCTGGCCTGAAATAAAAGGTTAACCTCTGAAGAGGCTGCTGACAATTGATAACGTTTTCAGCCGTGCATTAGCGGTGATTCTGCTACAAAGGCCTCTCACGTGGCTGTGCAATAAATGCTCCATGAGTTCAGCTTTCAGGGCTCTTTGGTGAACAGATTGCAACTAATACAGTAGTCATAAAAATCTGTTGGATAGCCTGAAGGTGCAGGGGCATTGCACTAGGCTTGCAAGCTGCTGACTAGTCATCCAGATTTGGAAGCAGTTTCAGTCTCGGAGTGCCTGGGCTGAGCTTTATTCTGAAAGGGCTTGGACTGAATTTTTCCTTGGTGGCCAGTCTTTACATTTACATATCCTGTGGGTTAAAAGATATATATGTATATATAATGGTGTCTGTTCTCATGGGCTTTCTGGAACTAACTTTCTTTCCAGATGGAGGAGTCTGGTAATGGTGGAGGTGATCAGTGCCAGGCTGGATCCTGCAAAATATTTAAGCATTTGCTTGAGTCCAGCTTTACTGACTTCAGTGAGATTTAAGTGCATACTTAAATATTTTCTGTGTATCCAAGGAAACTGGGAAACTGAGTATACTGCATGAGAGACAACTGAATAAAGTATATAAGGAATATATGATTTATTACAAACCCATAAGAGAAGGAGAAAAATATTCTTAAATCTGTAACATACATCTACTGTTGATATCGATATTTTCTAAAATGAAAAAGACGACAGTGAAGAAAGAAAAAAAGACTGAGATGTTCTGATTTTGCTTGTTGGATTTCACTGAAGTTGCTGTTTTGAAATTCTACAGATTTGTATCATGGCCTTTGTGTATCAAAAGCCATTCAAGATGGATTGATTGAGTTAGCTTTTAGGTTGCTCATTTGGAACAAGTTACTGTGGATCATTTGACACAGTAATATTTCTCCATGACCATCCTGTTTGTGCTGTCTGAGCCTTCACGTAAAAGACTCTCTCATTGTTTGCACCCTCTGCTTACCACTTATGTTTTATTCCAAGGCTTTATTCAAAGCTACATTACAGTTTTCTTGTAATGCACCATCTCAGGCATGATTGTCAGCCTTTGAATTGATAAAGATATGTTCAGAGATGCAAAACTTTCTCCTTCAAATCTGTTGGATTTATATAACATGGTTAGAATTATTTTTATCATCCTGCAGGACAGGATAACCTAATGTCCTGACTTTTGCCCATATGGGTCCTAACATCCTAATAGTGGTGCTGCCCAAGACAGTGGATAGTTTGTCTCAATATTTCAGGACTTCTAAGCCAGTGGGATCCATAGCTCTCAATTTTATGGTTCCCATGGGCTTTGCCTCCTCCCTTAATCTGACTTCAGTCAATCCAAAAGTTGAACAAAACTGGCATTTTGTAACTGCAAGGATTCCACTCAGCAAAGGTGCGGCCTGTGGTCAAGGCTCTGGTCAAACAGAGTCAGAGTCTTTATATTTACAACATGGTAAATGAAAATGCTACATTTTTTCCCTTGCATTTTCACAAATCCACATGCTGTAGTTCAATATGTGACTGTGTCTTTAACTGTTATAGAGGCATTGAGGTTTGCTATGCTACTTGCACGACACACATCGTACTGATGTGCGGTCAGCCAGGGGTAATTTTTATGATGTATTAGTTACTGTGCATTAATCACTTTTTAGAGGTAAATAATTTGGTCATCAATTTTCAAAAAAAGTATAAAATGGAAAAAAAAATGTGCAATGTATATCAAGGTTTTCCTGCCTTTAAGTTTTAAATGGATCATCTAAAGGACATTGAGCAGTGCTTTAAAATGCTTAAACTTGTAAAAAGGGAACTTATATGTGAGCTACAGGGGGCAGCTGTTAAAGTTTTAAAAGTGGCAGAGAATTAGCTTGTGATCTATAGTGCAATCTTTATCTTACTGCTAGTGAAATGGCCAAATTATAAACCTCTAAACAAAAGTGAATTTCTAAGGAAAAGCTTCTTTATAATAGTGGTGCTTCTGGGTCCCATTATGATACAGCACATGGTCATCATACGGCTTTGTCTGGCAAAGTGCACTTACACGTTTTTTTTTAGCTCTCGGCATTGTATATTTTTACAATCATCTGTAAAGTTTCAATTTTAAGCAGCTTTTGGCCTGAAATATTTATGAGTCCACGAGATCAGTTTGATCTCTGTGTGCTCCCTAGTTCTTATTTGTATTCGTGCTAAAAGATCAACACCAGAAATGCAGTACACTTGACAGGTTCAGAGGAACTTGGAATGAAAAAAAAGGGCCTCATGCGAATTAATGATGGAGCTGTGCAAAGGCATCGTAATAGCTGTTGCCAATAGCAATGTCTGTTCCTGCGTAAACCATTGTGATCCTTCATTTTCATGAGCAGATTTGCTTTCTCTGCAGCTCATTACTTAAAAATAAATTAATAAAAAACCACAGAAAAAGCTATTAAGGGCCAAATAAAAGCAAGGATTCTCTTTGCTTGTGGAATTAGAGCTGCTCTCACCAAATATGTGTTGGGCTCAGGAATTCAAAATTCCTTTTAAAACATGCAATATTGTGTAATGGATATTTTTGTCTAAAGCCTTACAGTGACAGTGTGCTGTATCTTCCTTCAGCGTAAACCTTCATTGTAGGACCAAGCTAACACCATTTATTAATGCCTTTTTTTCCATTTCTACAACAAAACTAGTGGAAGAAAGTGCATGATGTCAGTGTGCTTGGAAGTAATGTTGCTTTGCTTGTTCTACCATGTATTAGGGGAGAATTTCGACCGCCAGGCCAGCATTCGGCGGTCTCTAATTTACACAGACACGGTGGTAAGACGGCCGAAGAAAGTCAAAAGGAGAAAGACTATTACAGGAATCCCTGACAACTTACAAAAGGAGCTAGGTATGGCTCATCAGAACTGTATTCCATCCACTGTTCATTGTCACTGCTTATCATTACTCGACTAATATCATCACCAGTGCTCATGAAACCAAATACAGTCTGATAGCCTATTTCAGTTCCAATATGTGTGTGCCTCCTTGCCAAACTCTTGCATTGGGAAGCTGGGACCTTTAATCTGTTCACTTCCATCTGTTAAAGGGAACAAGGTGTTTGGAAAATGGTGTACTGGTACAATGAAAACCTGCAGGGATGTAAGGTGTCTGGACTTTAATGCTTTCCTTCAGATTTGGTCATCTTCTCCAGGATGTTCACCAAAGCAAAACTGAAGTGAGCAGACGTTTTGGCTTGTGAGTAATTACTTAGTGGAGTAAATCAATTTATGGATGTGTTCCTGAACCGACTGAGGATTGCATCAAGAGTGGAAAACCTATTTTCCAGTTCAGTGTTGGCAACTCCTTAAGTATCAGTGTTACATGATTGGAATAACCTACCTGGGTTTATTAGCTATTCCATATATTCTAAAGGAAAGGGAACTTCCTTTAGAATATATGGAAAAGCTAATAAGCCAGGTAAGTTGCATTTATTAAGAAGGAGGACTGCCTGAGGTAGTGTAAATGTGACCTATCTTCTTCCCACTTGGTAGTAGATGTGAATTCAAAGCTGATCAAGCAATCTGGATTTTGGCAGATCTTTCACACACTTTTTGCAGAATTCTTTGATTTAAATTGTGTTTTTTTTTTTAATTATTTCAGCTTTTCCCAGGTTATAACTTCACAGATAAAAATATTAAATATTCTCCCTCCCCCTTTTTTTTTCTCTCTGTAGAGGAGGAATATGTTTTAAAATAGTCTGGCAGAACTTCATTTTGGTGCTTTACATGTGAAATCATCTCATATATTGATTTCAGTAAATTTTACTACCTTGCATGTTGCAGCTATTTCTTTTTTAATCATGTTTTCAGTTCTTGGTTATTTTTCTGGATTTTTCAGAAACAGAAGCAAAAATCTGTGGCTTGTTTGGATGGGTTTGAGATGAGCTAGAGAATCTGGCACAGAGAAAGGCAAGAAACAGACAATTTTGTGCAGAGATGTTTGTGAGTGGAACTGTGCTCCTTCAGCATCTGTAATGAAACAGTGCCCTGCCATGGGAATCCACTGCCTCAAGAAAGCTTTTCCAAAATGTTAAGGTTACATTATGACCACTTCAAAAAGATGTTTCATGCTTGAAAACATCAACTTGTAGTTGTATTTGGTGGAGGAAGCTGAGAATGCTGTTGGCATCTATCCTATAAAGAATTCTTCAATTATTACCTTCAAAGAAGTTTATGACTTGCCAATCTGTTCGCTAAGGGTGACAAGTTTTTACCTTGATTTTCATCTTTCTTGTCTGTGCTGAGCACATTTCACGTTGCATTGCTTGAAGGTTTTCCTTGGCTTCTATTTTAAATTGTGGACTGGCAGTATCCTGCTGTAGTAGCTCTCTCTGGATGGTTCCCTTACCCCCAACCTGCCAGCACATAGGGCTTCAGCCATCTACCTTAGGGCATAAGTTGTCTGAGGAGCTCCATGTTACTTCCATGGTAGTTGTATCTCTTCCAGGGAGCAAATTGTATGCCAGGAGTACTCTGTGACAGCAGTATCCATCCTCTTAGCATATTGGTTTCCATCACAGGACAGAAGGTGCACTAGAAAAGAGTGAAAGTGTCTTCATCTTACACCTGGCGAAAGCAGACATGCTGCAGTGAAGTGACCTAGCCAGTCAGCCACCAGGCTGCTGGCAAGGCTGGGAATAGCTGCACGTCTCCCCATCCCTGTTCAGTGCACTTTCTTTCTGCCTTTTCTCCCCTGTCACTCCCCAGATATTTCTGTAGCAGTCCATTCCCTATTTCTCTTACGCTGTCCCAAAACAAACAAGGAGTTGTTTTAAGACATTCCACAGTTCATTTGATCGGAACAAGTATCCGGACTAAACTCCAAATCAAGCAATTGCATTATGCCTATTGACATTCTCCCTGTGGTTTCAGCTGAATAAATCTCTTTGTTTCTTCCCTAAAGCATTGCTGTGAATGGCTATAATATTTGTACAAAGATTAAAGTCCCTTGGTACACTAGAGTTGCTGCGTGCAGGCTAAATAACCAACATATACAGCAGATTCTTGTAACCTCTTGTTTATCCTTCAGAAGGAAGCAGAAACTTGAGAGAACCTCAAAGCTTCAACCAGGCTTGGACTATTTTCATTTCTTGTGAGAGAGTCTGGAAGAACTTTTGTGAGGCCAAGCTGCTGGGGTTCTCCCTTGGCTGCTTTGGGTCCTTTGGAACAGGAGACCAGGCAGAAGAGAAAGCCTGCACCGGCTGCTAGCCTGGGCTCACCGGATGTGGTGCCCTCGTAGAACTTAGCCAGACATACTGAGAGGAAACATTAACTTCACCTGTGTGCTCAAAGTATCTTTAAACATTCCTGCTTTTTAGCATTGAAATGCTGTTGTGTTTTCACAGGTGTCTTCCAGTGATGAACCGGTCTCTGTGTAGACTGGAAAATTCTGCATTAAGAATTCTGCATAAATAATATGCAATGTGATAGATGGGATTCTGAGACACAGTAAGAATCTGAAGTGTCTACCAGTTTAGAGATGGCAGTTCCTTTTTGAAGTTGCTTTTTAACTGCAGCACCCTTTCAATACTATTTAGCAGAGTGACACCAAAGTAACAGAAGGCAAAGCATTTTTCTCTCTGCCAAACACAGCAATGAAAAAGAATTAGTTCTGCATACTTCTGAATTACCTTCCTTGTCTTACAAAACATAAATATTACATACATATTTAATGGAGTCAGTGTTGGGTCAAAACGGCAGAAAGAGCGTGAAACTTTGAGACGTTTTACTTCAAGTGCTCTTGGTTTCTCTGCTCTGTTGCCATTATCCGTTGTCTCTAGATGTCTTCTTCAGGTGGTACCTTATATGCAAACCTGTATTCTCCCCTCAGACAAGATGATTCCCAAACAGAAGTTTAGTAGAGATGAGCACCTCTCTGGAAGAACCTGTCACTGGCCCTGCTCATTTTTTGGCTCTTGGTTATCATCAACTCCCTTCACGCATTCCAGCTCTCCAGAGGAAGTGAAGGCAGCAAAATTCTCTCCATCTTTCCATGGTCGCTTCTTTGTGTCAGTGCTCTAGGGTCTGGCTCACGCTAACTTTCTTTTGTGGGAGTTCCAAGTTACCTGAGTAACATGAGTGTTTCTCCAGAGCTCTGCATCCATGCAGTCCCAGACACCAGTGGGCAGCTTCTGGTGTCCCAGACTCCTTCTCTGTCTTGCAGTTGGAGCAGGTCTCAGACCTCCCTATCAGTTCCATCACAGTTCCTAATAAACATACCTCACCAAAACAGGGGACAGGAAGACATCTTCAACTTTTCCACCTTTTATTCCTCCTTCTTCTGACAGGCATTTTGATGTGTTTTTTTATTCTCACAGAAAGTCTCTGTCCTCTTGGTTTCCAAAAATGTCTTCTAATTTTATGCTTTGTGTGTACTTCCTTTGGATTATTTAAATCCTTTTCTCACATCTTACAGATCCAATCCTTTTTTTACATCTTACAGATGCAATTCATAGTCTTTTTGGTTCTGTGATTTTCTTGCCCCATGTACTTTTTTTCCCCCTTCTTGACTTAAAGGTTCAAAGGGTCAGAATGACCTCATACATTTTTTTCAGCTTATTTTCCTACCTCACTTTTTCAGTAGGTCACTTTCACCTCTAGGATGTCATGTCAGTCATTGGGATGGAAATGACTGACACCTCAACTGTCAGCCCTTAATTTGCTTTCTGGCTGTGCAGCTCAGACCCCTGGCGGTACCAGTTGGTGTCTCAGGTGTCATTTGGGACTGTTGAAGCTCTCCGTTGACATGCCTGAGAAGAAGCAATTCCATCTCAGCAATATGAGGGCAAATGAGTCCTTCAGATCTTTGGAAACTCAGCTGTTCTATTAAAAACACCTCTTAATTGATACTCTTCTCCAGTTAGTTCCCTCCAGGGCTAGCAGTCACTCAAGTTACAGGTCCCATGGGTAAGTAAAGTCCCAGATACCCATTGGTCCTACAGAAATACCACTCAAATACCCAGCTGTTCCAGCCGAGGAATTCTGCACCTGCTTCTGTTTGGAACTTTAGCAGTCTTTGGAGAGAATATCTCTGTTTCAAAGTTATTGTTTATATATAGTTTTGACTAACACTGGGGTTCTACCTGTAGTTTTTCACGATTGTATGTTTCCAGCACTATCCGTCTATATATCAGATGTTAGAAAGCAGGTATAATCTGCTTTTTGATACTGGGGATGAAAAACACTGATGCAAAGAATATAAATGTCACCAGAGGCTGTTAGGTTAGAGAAACTATCAGAATCAAGAAAACTTGAATTCCTGATATTTGCATCAGAATTCTCCCTCTCAGGGCGGCAGTGATATGTGCAAATATTCAGGATTTTTTTTAGCTGGCAGCACTGAAAAGTTTCACAGGATTCACTGCAATATTTTTCTTCCCCTCTGAGAGATTACAGATGCTTCATGGAGTGCAGTGAAAATTCCTTAAAATTGCCATAAGCCCACTGTACTTGTCTGTTTCTTGTTGAGTGTCTGTTAAAATCACTCAGTTTCTAATTGCTGGGGTAGAACAAAATAAGAATCTCTGGGGGGTTTTTGTAACCCTAAACTGTGGTGCCTGCACAGTGACTTAGCCAGTTTACCAGGTTTGCGGGAGCATTGCTAGGTGTGGCATGAGGAGGCAGTGAGAGGCAACACACCTTAGGAATGTGCCTGTGGCATGAGATTCGAGTGCTTACATTAGAAATGGTTAGTCAGAAGGTAACAGGGACTACTTCTTTGTTCTCGTTGAAACAGGCATCTGCTTTGTGACACCAACACACACGCTGTTTATCTTTTCAAACCCTCAGTTTCCCATGCTCATTTCAATGCAGAGGACCTTTCATGTGATTCTCTGCAACGAACTGCTGGTGCCACCAGATCAGCTGGAGTCACAGCAGGGCTGCTAGTATCTAGGCCCCAGGGATTATACACAGACACACTTTCTTACCCATCAAATTTGCCAAATTTGTCATTCTCGATCCCTGTCCTCTCTAATGTGCCACACCAGTGACTACCAGAATCCACAGAGTGCTTGTTCTTTACTAGCTGCTGGGGCCTGCACTAAACGTGCACATGAGTGAAGAGCATTTGCCCTAATTAGAGATTTGCAGCATAGTAGGGTAATGAAAAAGAAAAGAGCATAGATACAGGTCTCCTGTGGTGGACATAGCACTGACTGCAGTGCTGCTGGATGCAGGATAATGCAAAGGGCAGACAAGATAATTGTTACTTTCAGCCACATCTATCATGCACCCAGTTTGCAGCTACTTCTGATTTTATGTTCAGCATCTGTAACCTGATGTGTGGTTCTGCAGCATTTTTTGCTGCTGTCTGCTCACACATTATCCCTGCAACTAGAAGGACTTACAGGTAGTATTTTTTAAAAGATCTCATTCTGTTCAAGGATCTTGGTGTTGCAGATATCTTCTGACTGCTATTTATTTAAGTAGGTGTTTTCTGACAAACCTAGCGTTATCAGTGTACTTAGTCAAAGGCTTGAGCTGTCCCTTAGAGCGGGATTGTCTTCCAGCTGTAGTACCAACGAAGATTTTAAGGGGGTTTGAAAATCATTACTTTCCAGTATTACTCTGGAAGTGAGTGAGGGTTTTACAGTGCATTTGAAAATTGCAAATAAAATACTCCTTGCTACCGTCCTATGAATTTCACCAAAATCATAAACACCTCAGCATTTTACCAGTATACCTGAGTCTTAAATGTTCCTCTGGTTGGTTTTTTGAACCATTTTCCCTGCAGATTTCTGTTGTCCCTCTTCAGAAAACAGAACTATAAAAAGACTAAATCCTCACAGCTTTGCATGAGATTGTGCATACATGTAAAGCCAAAACCAAAGCTGATAGAGTTTCAGAATATGCTGCTTTTCTAAAAAAACCCCAAAATTTAAAACCTCAAAGTTATGTTCCTGTAATAGTAACAAGAATGCAAAATTCCTTCCCTGACCATAGCCCATAGAGCAATGTAAAAATGTTACCCTGTAGTTTATATATCTGAAGCTGGGCTGTCTTGCCCTCCATAATCCTCTTTTTCTTTGGGCTCTGAATCATTCAAACTAGAAGAGGCCAGTCTTCACACCAGTGCAAAGACTTGCCCTGATGGGCTTCCCTGCAGTAGTGCTGAGGTTGGGAACATTTACTGCTGTTGAGTCAATTTATGCAGCTTCCCAGAGCATATTAGGCTGGACCATAAATGACATCTGTTCTGGTAACAAACACAGGTAAGCTTTGGTTCTCAGTAGCATGCTGCAGCTGGTTGTGGATGCTGCCCTCTTGTTACTGTGCTGCTCTGGCTGGGGCAGCCAGCAGTGCCCCAAGGAAAGGGGCAGGAGCTGCCTCACCAGGCATTTTGGTATAGCCGTCAGTGGCCTCCTTTATTCAATGGCCTTTTTTATTCAGTGCCATTAATTTTCTTTTTCAGATACACTGTGCATTTGCCATGAACAGTATGTCCCAATAAATGATTCTAACTCTCCTTGTTTTGGAAGGAGAAGGTGAGATTAGCAAGTCCAGCATTGATCCACTTTGCTATTTACCTTTTCTAGCAGTAACATTTTGAACAGACATAAAACACCCATCTGCATTATACTGCTTGTGAATAAAGTACAGACATACCACATACACATGCTCTCAGCCACAGGTCAGTGTGTGACAGTATCAGATACTTGCTGTAATGCTGACAGCTTCATTCTCCACCAGCACAATCCTTTTGTCTCATCTGCATGGGTGTTTGTGTGCGTGTGTGTGTTTCACAGAAGAAGAAAAATACCCCATCTCTTTGGTTATTTACATGTCTTGGCATGCAGATTTTTGTTACCAGATATTTTTAATTGACCAACAGTTAAAATTGGTTATGTCATGGTTCCAGAAACATTTGTTATGTCTGTTTTGATGCTTTTCTCTGTCTTAATCACCCAAAGGGGTGCACTGATTCCATAGAAAAAAAATATACCTGGAAAGGATGATTATTTTTCTTACTGTACAGTTCAATAACTGTATACAGAATATGCAAATCTCTCTCTTGGTTGGCTGCAGTAGTCCATCTGTTCTGACAGTATCTCATATTAGATTATCCAAGACATTTGCCAGCATCTGAGTATCTAGCTTTGCAGCAAACATCTACCAGAAGCAGAAAGAGGCTGCATTTTTATGAGAGCAAGAGAATTTTCACAAAGCAAGCTAACTAGGCTTCAAGCTGCTGAAAGACTACTTACATGCCTGAGGAAAAGAAGTAAACAATCTTTTTTGTGTGTGCTGCTTTAACTGTAGCGTTTTCAGAGCCCTCTTTTCCTTACCCTAAATGCCTCTTTTGCCTGCCAAGAATGAGGATGATTAAATGTCCTTTAAGTGGTGTTTTTAAAGCTGCATGATAAGAATACCTATCCTCCCAATGCAGTTTCATATAGTAAATATGAAAGGAGAACATTCCTTTCAGGCATGCTACTTTATTGCTCCTGAGACTCACTAAGGCAGAGACTTGAAATAACCAGTTCTCCCCCACAGTGACATATGTGTAGCATCCTTACCAGCATCTCCAGCAGCATGCCTGCCTCTCTCTTGCTATTTATACAGCAATGCAACCGAATTCAAAAGCAACAGCCTTACACAGACTAATTTTAAAGCAGTCCTCTGCTTTGTGTTTTTAAAAGGTGGCTACCGATAAAATTGTAAATTTAAAAGAGCCCTAAAATCCTTTCTGTTGACCCAGTGATAACTATATATTGAGCTAAAACTGATTTCCATTGTCTTCAAAGTTGGGGGTTGGGAGGAGTTATGCCAATATGTGATCATTCCTTCTTTTAGAAAAAGTGATAATTTTTTTATTTCCTGATGGTGCTGAGGATGAGACAATCATCAATACCAGCTGTTTCTTTTCCCCAGTTCTTACTGTTTTTCCTTTATGATAAATAGAAAGTAGTTGTACGGAGAAATGTTACCTGATGGTTTTCTTTGCAGTGTTGGATAATGCTTATATGAATGCTGTTACAGTGTATGTATTACTTGTGGCAAAACAATGCATGTTTCCATGTGTTAGCATTCTTTCAGACAAATTGCAGGACTTGGAGAGCTGTCTGTGTCTCCTGAACATTTTTTTGTGAAGTGTAATGCTTGTAAAAAGTAGATCCTTTTATTCATATTAGTCTCCAGATTTCCTTCCCCTTTTCTTTATTGCATGAGGCATTAGCATGGGAACACACTTCACGTTTCTCAGGCTTTTGTCTGTTCCTGCTGCGTTGCCTACTGGAAGTCAAACAGTACCACTTGGTTTCTGACACAGCTGATTACTATGGGAATTATTACCATGTCATAAACAGAGGATTTCATGTGTCGAATGTGCAGCAGGAACGCAGACGATTCTGTAAGCTGAAGGTTCCTGGTAATAAGGAAAAAGGGAAGAGAAATGCAGAAAACAGATTATGCCTCTGCAAAATCCATTGTTGCAGATTCTTCTTCAGAAGGCATAAACCTGCAGGAGCATGGGGATCGAGCAGTTTGCTGAGTTGCTGTATTTTTTAAATGAGTGAGAAGATAAATGTGAATTTGCGCTTCAGGAAATAATTATTTTATTTTTGACTCCAGCAGTTGGTACTGGCCAAAGTGATTTCCGAGGGCATTCCATGTATGTCCCAGATCACTGTTCCACGCTAGGCAGACTAGACAGCTACCGCTCCGCCATGCAGCGCTCTGAAACCAAGGACACCAGCTGCCAGACGGAGGAAGTTAAAGTTGTGCCCCCTTCAATGAGAAGAATACGAGCACAGAAAGGACAAGGCATTGCAGCCCAGATGTCCCAGTTCTCCAGCTCATCTGGAAACATGTCGGTGATGAGCGATTCTGCTGCAGTTATATTTGCCTCTCGCCAAAATAACGACCTAGGTTTTCACAGCTTGCCTCGGGTTGGTGCGAGAGTGTCTCTGCAGTCCCTAGATGAGACGCAGAGCATGATGTCAAGGCAGACAGAAGACATTGCTGGCACCTTACCCCACCAGATAAGTAAATTGCAAGTGGATGATAGTGTTGTGCATCTGAGGAGTAATCCCACGATGGGGACCCCGTCAAGGCCAAAGTCCCAAGAGGTAAGAAGCTGTGACAGCGAGAAGTCCTCAAGCCCAGCATGTGTGGTCTCTCCTCATGCCACTTACTCAACAAGCATCATACCCAATGCAACACTGTCATCCTCCTCGGAAGTTATCCTTATTCATGCTGCTCAGAGTGTTGGATCATTGGATAGTAAAATGTCCAGCTCCGATGCCTTTCCAAATCCAAGAGACAATCCTGCTGCCAGCAGTGCAGTAAGTGGGAAAGAAGATCACCATTCTTCAAGTGGTAACTGGAGTGAGAGTAGCTCCACACGTCACTCACAGACTTCAGATACCATCCCATCTAACACTGTCATGGTGCTTTCTCTCGGTGACTCTGCTGTCTCTCTAAGCACTCCTGGGAATGCAGAGGCTGGGTCGCAGAGCATGAGCTACAGCTGTAGGAACACCGCTGCTTTAGCAAGCCCTTCCCAGGACAGCGATGGTCGGAGCGAATCCAGCTACTCTGGGGAGCGAGCGCAGGCAGCAGTGAGCAGCACAGAGCATTGGCTGTACAAGTCTTCAGAGAGCAGCGAGACCCCTTCACACAAGGCGGTTTGTACAACACCAGGCTGTGCCACACCCCGTAGCAACCTGAGCAGCAGCAGCCTGGAGAGGACGTCAGTCAGGGATGATTCTACTTCCCTGTATTCTGTGGACCATGATGGCTATTATGGCTCCATGCATATGGACTCTGCACTGAAGGCAGACATGCCATGCAACAGTGCTAATGGTTTTGAGAACCCCAGAGACAGCGTGATAAATGTCTTTGAAGGAAAGGAGAAAAAACTTCAGGATGAACACTCAGGCCAAGGTGACAAATCCCTTGCAAGAAACATCTCACTGAAAAAGGCAAAGAAGCCACCTTTGCCACCATCCAGAACAGACTCACTCAGAAGGATGCCTAAGAAAAAAGCCCAATCCAATGGACAGATACTTGATGAAACCCTCATTGCCACTCTTCAGCATTCTCTGCAGCTGAATCTCAAGTGCAAAAATGGCAGCTCCCCTTCCCAGAGCCCCTGCAGTGATTATGAGGATCCCTGGGTGTTGCGCTCACGCAGCCAAAGCTCGGTCAGTGCGAGCAGCAGCATGATGTCCACCACTGCTCCAAACCTGTACTCCATCTGCACAGTCACTCCCTCCCAGAGCGAAACAAGTAGCATAAAGTCGGAGTATGCTGACCAGTGGGGTTACTACAGCGACTATGCTGCGGTGGCAGATGACCAGGTGAAATCTCCCGTGACCCATTCTGCCAGTACTTCGTCTGCTCTCAGCGATTACAGCATCAGCCACTTCAGCGATGGCTCAAGGGCTTCTGTGCCACAAGTGCCCAGTGGACTGGCCAAACCAAAGAGTGCTTCTCCGGAGAAATCCCACCGCGTCACATCACCATCGAGTGGGTACTCCAGCCAGTCCAACACACCCACTGCGCTCACTCCAGTGCCTGTACTTGTAAAGTCTGCATCATCAGGAAATGGGAAATCCAAGCTGAAGCCTAAAGTGCCTGAAAGGAAGTCCTCTCTTTTGTCTTCGGTCTCCATGTCTTCGTCGTCCACTTCTCTTTCTTCAAATACATCTACTGAAGGGAGTGTGAGTGTGAAGAAACTGGACCCTGCCCTGAGCCCTCCTGTGGATTCTGGTGCACCTCCTCCACCAACTTCTCTTCCAACATCTCAGCATTGTCCTGAGCTTTCTCCTCCTCCTCCTCCTCCTCCTCCAGCAGAAGTAATGGATCTGTCACCATTGTCAGCCTCTCCCACGTTCCCCCCTCCTCCGCCAGAAGCCAGTGTAAGTTCTGCCTTTGCTCAGACTGTCCCATGGTTTCCTCAAGAAGCCTCCATCAGTTCATTCTCTTCCCCCGTTCCTCCTCCTCCTTCTTGCCCCTTGGCTGTCCCACCACCAGCCCCACCGCTTGATCCCAAAATAACAAAAGGTGCAGCAGCAATATACCCACTGTATTCTTTTAAGAAACGCAACCAGGAGGATTCCTGCTACAGTCCAGTGAAACAGCCACTCAACAGGCAAGATTCATCAAGACCTGTGATGCCGTTAGTAACCACCAAAGCACTGCAAATGGTGCAGTTGAGGTCTGTGAAAAAATCAACAGAAGGTGAATCATCAACTGAATCTGCTTCTGAAACCACCTCTCAGGAAAAGGGTACTGTAAATTCATCATCACAGTCTTTGCTAAAGCCATCTCTCTCACTAAAACTCAGTACCAGCTTAGGTGATGAGGAGGTGAAAACTCAAGGCACCTCATTTAAAAATGCAGTTCAAACACTGTCTCGGGGTTCTCCTCTCATTCTCTCTGATAACACATCTGTACTTGACAGTGATCAAAAGCCTGTGAGTGCAGTAGGTGCAAAGAAATCTTCTGAAGATGATGCTCTGGGGTCAGCCACTGATGACACACCTGAGTCCTCAGTGCAGAGTGAAGACCTCCCTTCTGGCATGTCACTTCAGGGATCACCAGCATCTCCTGACAAGACTCAGGGTGTATTGCCAAGCAAGAAACCACCTCCTATTTCAAAGAAACCCAAACTGTTCCTTCTGGTTCCACCTCCACAGTTAGACCTTACAGTGGAGAAAGCAGCTGAAGTGGTTGATACTGCCAGAAGCCCAGCTACGAGAGACGCTGTGCTTGCACACTCTGAGGAGGCAAGAAATTGTCTTACAGATGGACTCGGTTCTAGCGAGATGGACTCTGGCAGCCTGGTTCCTGAGGGAGGAGCTGCTGGATTCACCTTCTCTGAGACAGTGGGAGCGAATGCCTTTGTGGTACAGCCTGCTGCATCACCAGTTCAAGAGGAACCCAGGCAGGAGGAGCAGTCTGCTTTTGATGAAGGAAGCAGTTCAGGCAGCAGCCAAGACAGTGGCAGTAACACTGACGGGCACCCGTTTCAAGAGAACGAAAGTGGTGAGTCTCTTTTCTCTGACTAATTCAGATGCAGCAGTAGCTATTTTAAAAGATGGGGATCCTAGCGTTGAGGTGGCATTCTGTAGAAGGGAGATCTTCTTGTGATTGTTACAACTAAAACGAAAAAAGTTGCAGGGATCTGATTAATATTGTATGACATTTCATAGAATTCCTTTCTGACTTCTCATTGTTGCAGACATGGAAAGAAAATGATGCTTTATTTAACCACGCTAGTATTAAAGCATGCTGTGAAAGCAGTTAATTTGTTAATACTGGTTTTGCATTTTAGTGGAAATGCTACAAATTTTCTTTTGTTACTGTTCTCCGCCTGTTATGCGTGAGCAAGCACAGGCGTGTATTTCACGCGCTGCAGTTCCCTAAGCAAGCGTTGCTCTGAAATCACAGTAATGTCAGTGCTGCACTCACTCAGTCCATCGGATGCTTCTCCTTGGAGGCAGCAAGGGCTGGTTTCAGGACTGGGTGCCCATGGGGTTCGCACAACGGACTGACTGTGTTGTTCGTTCTCTTTGCATAGTGGAGGTGTTTGAATCAGACACAGCCAGTAGTTCATTCCTGCCAAGCAGTGGTTATGGGGAAGAGACAGACGGAGTGGCAACACCAGCAAGACCAAGGACTACTGAGGATCTTTTTGCAGCCATTCACAGGTACTGTAGAAACTGCCCTTCCTCTACTGTCAGGTCCAGTACATCTCTCAGAAATAAATTTAACACTGTTTTGTTGAACACCCAATTACAACAGTCATGGCTTTAACAGAAAGTACATATTTATCAACTTTCTACTAAGGCTATATGTGAAAAAGATGAGGAAACGAACTTGCATATTATTGTTTTATAAATGTATTTAATCCATTCTGAACTAAACCCAACCAGATTAAATGGATGTAGATTATATTATAAATACCTTGCCCTTTAAAATATCAATTTACATCTAGTATTTATTGTACTGTTCTCAATCTGCCATATTAACTCTACTGTTGCTTTTTCTGTGTATCTTTTTGTTTTCATTCTCGTTCTTCTCCATCTCTTTTTACTCTCTTCGCTGCTTATATGGTGCAGTTTGGGACAGAGGCTCAACGCTAATGCTTCATGGCAAGCGTGGCTGAAACTGGCAAGTAACACAACATGTCAGTCATATGGCAAAACATATGGCAAACGCTGGATTATAGTTTGCCATAATCCAGCCTGAGGTCGGGTATTTTGTGTCAAACTGGTTCATGAATGGAATGTGCAGTACTGGCTCTATTGTTAATGGCATTATTCATTTCCCTTGAAAACAGAATCATGCCGAATGGCAGCTAGATTTATGTGCTGTTCACGTTAGGTGCTGAGGAAGAAGAAAGCCCGAGAAAGCCCCAGGGACAGGAGCGCTGAAGGCGGAGCCCGGAGCGGGTCCCTTGGAGCGGCGCTCCCGGAGCCGCCCGGGCCGGGCTGGGCGTGGCGACAGCGCCATCGCGTGGCTGCGCCGCGCTCTGCAAGCCGCAGAGGGGCCGCCTCCTGCCCGGGAGTGGGGAATTATCCCGGTGCTCACTCCGTCTGCACAGCTGTGCATCGGGAATGAGCGACGCGAAGAGAGCGGCTGCGAGGCTGCAGCATTCTGGATGCAGATACTATGTTTTTTTCATTTTTTGAAACAAGTCTTTTCCAGACCTTCCAAAAAACTACATGTATATGATACTGACTTTTTATAATTTACTGTTAGCCCTTAGGACTTGGCCTGTATGAGCCATTCTGAAAACGATCTGTTGCATTCATGTTGCATGGCACTCTCTAGAGCTGTGTCAAATCTGGCTTAAGAATGGGGTGTTCTGGCCAGTAGCCATTCTCTTTTGTGTATGCAGATAGAGAGTGGATTTTTGTGATATGCACATATTTGTAAATCATTAGTTTGTGGGGAAATGGACAATGGAACTGGATGTGACATACTTAGAACTGCTTGATACATTTTTTTATTATGACCTTGCTTTTGCTGGCTTTGGACTTTAACCACTTTCTTCCTTGGTTGCTAATTAGTAAAAAAAGTTTTGGTTTTCCCCACTGTTTCTAAGAGATACTACTTCAGTAATTGGCGCTCTTGAATATATAATTTGAAGCAAGATAAGAAATTTAGTGGTATGTGCATTAAGGACAGGAAGAACAGTCCGAAGTTTTAAGTCATAGTTTTGTTTGAACATATATCCTGTCTGTGTCTGAAAAGCCACCAAAACCAAATTTGGTTCTTAATTTCAAACTTCTTCCATAATTCATGCATATTGAGAAAAGCTGGCTAGGTGCTGACAGCAAACTGACTGCTCTGCACTGCATTCACAGTCTTACCAGATCACTCCAAGCTGCGATAATAGTCTTTCTGTGCAGATCCTTGCAACTGATTTTTTCTTTTTTTAAGTTTAATTTGGGGTTTGGTAACAGTACAACCCCAGCACTGCAGTGTTTAAAGATACCCACAGGCAGCCAAAACCATAATGAAGGAAAATCTTTCCCCTGTAACAAATGCACACAAGTGTTCACATACAGATTCGCAGAGCATCCGAGCACCAAAATCATCTGCTGCCTACGGTGCTAAGGCACAGTTAAATCTAGATGAAGTTCCCACATTGGCTGCTCCTGAAGTCATCATTCTATCTCTTTGCTGTCTTCTGTGTCCATTCACTCTCAGGCTGAATGGACATTGGTATTACATTCTTATTCCAGAAGGACAGGTGGAGGCAGCAGCAGCTGCTGAAAATAACAGCTGGTGCAGCTGCCTGTGGGGGCATCACAAGTGAGTTATGCATAAACTTCACCACTTAGGGAAGAGACTGGATTGCTCCAAAGTCTTGGCACAGCCTATAGCAGTGTCTGTTGCTGCCACCTACTCAGCTGATGGATCCTGCTTCTTTGTTTTCAGGGGTTTTTTAATTATCAGTAGGCTGCGATGCATGAACACATTTGAGCTTGCCTTGGCAAAATCTCAAGGCTTTTAAGAAAGTAAAGCTAAAGATCACATTAAGTAGAAATCTGTTTTACAAGGGGAATGGTCTGGGTTGAACACATGCTTGATAAAAATGAATATGGAGTTTATAGGATGATAATTTTATATCTCTAAGAAGTCTGTTGACTTGTTTTAAGCTTCTGCCAAAATACCATATTTAAAATTAGGCTTTATACAATCCTTTTTAATTAATTCTTGCTCAGTCAGCAAAGAAACAAAGCAGCTGTATTATAGCTACTAGGCATGTACATTTCTTTAAGATTGAGGCAGTAGAAGTCCAGTTTCCACATATTCCCAGCTCCGTGGTTATCTCTTAATTTTTTTGGTGTGTGTGTTATCCCTACACTTCACATCTAAATAGACAAACACTCCACTTTTCCATTTGGAAAGATAACTTTCTTGTCAGGAAGTTGGTCTCTCCTTCATTTAGTTGAAAGTTGCAATGACAGAGCACCAACATAACTGTGAATTTTATCTGTGCATATTGAGAGGAGCTGGAAAGGATTTTTCTCTATTTATTTAATATTTGGATTAGGGATGGGGTTTTTCAATAATTTAATTTAGAATTGTCACATGTGGCTCCGTTTGCTCCATCTTCAGCAGCAGTGCTTTGCTGTGTCCTTTTTTTCTGAAGGAAAGTGAACTAAACTACACCTCAAATTCTCCAGAGAGTGTGAAATTGTAAAATGAAACAAAACAAAGCATACTCTAGATGACATATTTTGAATCAAGTCCCCAAATTACCAGAAAAACAGCATGGAGTATAAATTTTTATAGCACATCAGTCTGAGCAGTTGAATATTGACTCCAGAAAACCCGATTCACTATATTTACCAAAGTGTTTTGAACATCAGTATTGCCAGTTTTAGTAGTTTCATTGTTCCAGATCTGCAGAAAAAGAGTAATAAACGTATGCCTTCAATACCTGTATTGGTGCCTGTACAGTTCTGGTGGTGTTCTTACTCATGCTTTAGATTTAGATCACTTCTCCCTTTTCCCTGTCTCTGCTTTAGCTTAAATTCATTGTCATCCCTCTAAACTGAGTTTAATTAGAGGAGGTAAAAATTTTCATTTTTGTGTCATCCTCTTTTTTGTGTGTATGTGTTTCAAACTCAGATCCAAAAGGAAAGTCCTTGGCCGTAAAGATTCTGAAGACGACCGTACCCGCAACCATTCTCCGTCGCCCCCCATAACTCCCACTGGTGCTTCCCCAAACCTAGCTACCCTCAAACAGGCCGGATCTATCCAGAGGAGCGTTCGCAAGAGCAGCACCAGCAATGACAACTTCAAAGCCCTGCTGCTGAAGAAAGGCAGTCGCTGTGACACCAGTTCCCGTATGTCCGCAGCAGAGATGTTGAAGAACACGGACCCGCGGTTCCACCGGCCGAAGACGGACGCCCCCGCTGACCTTTCCGACAGCCCTGCCGGCTGCTCGCCCAGCAAGAGCAAACGGGCCCAGGAGGAGTGGGCCAAGAGTGAGGGCCTGATGCCAAGGAGCATGTCCTTCTCTGGCACGAGGTACGGCCGGTCACGGACACCCCCGTCTGCTGCCAGCAGCAAGTACAATGTCCGCAACCGCATCCAGAGCAGCCCCATGACTGTCATTAGTGAAGGAGATGGGGAAGTGGTGGAACAGTCCGAGGGCAGGGTCCGGAGGACTTTGGAAGAGCAGCAAGAGGGGCAGCTTGATATGTTTAACAGTGATGAAATGGACATGAATGACTTCCCGTATGCTGAGGAGGCAGGCTGCAAGGAGACCTTGGATCCAGCCCATGTAGACTTAATGACTCAACCAGGTGCTTCAAGGAAGTATCTAAACTCTTCAGCTGAAGAAAGTTAAAAGGCAGTGTGACAAAAGGCGTTGGACATTAGTCTAGAAAATTACAGGGACTAGATTCCAGAAGAAAGCCCAGACCAGGACAAGGTTACTTTGCTGAGCATTTATTCCACGAACTGCGTGTGTATGTTTAAATGCTAAAGCGACGATGGTTCTGCATGGTTGGGTTGGGATGGGGAGCACTTGCTTTGAATGAGTGGTCTGTGGCTTGAAGAATGTTAACAGTTGAATTTTTTGTGTAAAGCCTTAGAAGTCCTCTTGTAGGGTGGGGTGGGGAAGTTTTCTCAGAGTCTGTTGGGGTGTGAAGTTTTTCTTTTTCTTAAGACTGCAATTGTGCAAGCAAAATTTAGGAATAAGCGAAATGCGAAGGCTCCTGTGGTACAAGCTGGACGTTTGTTTCAAAAGCATTGTAGTGATGCAACGTAGTGCATTAGTTGAGCAGAGGGAGGCACAATGAGGCACATTCACCTCTGAGAGAAGGTAGCAGGGTTGATGCTGGGGTTACGTGGCTCCTTAGAGGAGTATGGCCCAGCGTTTGATGAAGCATGTCCTGCTCGAGCAGTGAGCTCACCAGGTTATGGATTGGTCCAGGGTACTGTACTTTTAATTCTTTTTCCTGAGGGAAAATGAACTGTGTAGTTAAGGTGGAAAAGGGAACTGATTTTATAACACACTACTGGCTGCTGTGCAGCCACACACCTTCACTTGGTGAAACACACATTTCCAGGTGAATTGCTTCCTTGACTGGAGTATTCCCTTAGAGAACTAGAACAGCTAGATGCGTGTGGAGGGTGCAAGCAGACATCAGGAAAGTGGGAGATGAATGAAGCCAGAATTTGGAAGGGTTTAGGAATGGTAATCCCCAATTTAGTGTTCCACCAAAACACTCCAAACCATGTACCCGCTCACTCACTCCCCTCTCCTCTTACCTCTGTGGGTGGCTAGGGAGGAGAATTAGAGGCACAAAAGCTGAAGGTTGGGGGCTGATAAAATAAAAATTCACTGGAAACAACAGTGAAGTAAGAAAATGGACAGTAGCAGTGACAGCGCTTAGAGTGTGCACGAAAAAGGTGAATGACTCACAGGTGACAGAGCCCGGTAAGGTGTGACCTGCTGCCCCTCTTCCTTGTTCCCAGCAGTGTTGTGAGGTGGTGTAGAGTAACCTCTGTGTCCTGGCCACAGCCCCTCCTGGCTGCTGCAGAAAATGAACCCTGTCCTGGCCGGAACCAGGACAGTTGTGTTTCTGAATTAGAAAGAGAAATTTGACTTGCACTACAAAGCTGTAGGTGGAGCCCGTCTTTCAAAACTGAAACTTGGGAATTGTATTTTGCGGGAAATCTGTCTTTCATTTGTCAAAATGGGGAGACTATTACTTTGCATCACTTGAAATACAGATACTTGCTAACTTTCGGTTACCAAAGAATAAGTTACGGTTACTTTCCTTTTTGATTTGCCTGCAGTACTGCTCTTCTTTTTTAACCTTAATAATTTAGTGATGTTCGTTTTTATTGTATATTTTACAGATAATAAGAACATTTAACGGTTTTCCAATTGTAAAGAAGACCATTAATTAAAACTGAAATATTGGCTGGAGTTTTTGGTTCTTGGTAGGAATGAAGCTTTTAATTTTTAATAAGAATTTTGCATCATTTGATGGCATGCGCAGTTTTTGTATTGTTTGTAAATACTGAAAGTTGTTAAAATATCTTTTGATCTCCTTACCGTAGAATTTTTACATATTTAGATTGCTTTTAAGAAGAAAAAGCACTCTTTGTAGATTATTTATTTTAGAGAAATATGCTTGTAATCTCTTTCTTCAATCCTTTACTTGTTAGTTATGTAAATTTCAGGGGCCTTCGTTTAACTCTTCCCTTCAGAAGAGGGGAATAGTGCTGAAAATGCTGTGACTTTGCTTCAATAAAGTAAAAGCCTGCCAGTTGCCATATTGTCTTTTGAGTCGATTAAAATCTCCTTCAAAAGATGTGTCCCACAGCGTATGGCAACCCATTGAATGCCATCATCCATGCATCCAGCTACTAATTTCCAGTTTTCATTGCAAAATTTACTAATTCACTTTAGACACAACTAAAGTGTACTCACACATCCATCCCATTTTGGTATCTCAGTTCTGAGACTAAAAATATTTAAATAATCCTAAGCTTTCTCCAGTGTCATGTGAGTGTTTCTACTACTCCTGTCCTACTTGCAACCTGTCCCAGAAAACTAAAGTTCTTGGAGAACCAGATTATAAGCAGAGTGAGTGGGAATTGAAATGGACAAGTTGAATCCAGCTGCACTCAGTGGAACAAGGGTGTATCAACTGGTGCGCAGCAAACTTTCTACCATTTTCATATGATAACTATATTGAAAGAACCATATTATTTTTTAAATAAAAATAAAACCTAATTGGATAAAGGAGATTGTTTCAGATACTGTTAATATTGAATGACACTCTGTTACAAAGAGATAGCAATGGCAGAGTGTTTTGCGCTAAACATCTTGCCAGTGTTGCTTTGCTCTGTCTTGCTCAGCTGATCTCATGAAACATGAAAGGACCAAGTCCTTTTCACAGCAGGTGCTGTCCCTTAGAAAGCCATGCTAAATCTAGCCAGTCCTCGTGCCCCCATCCTGACAGGACAGTGTGTCATAAATAACCCTCAGGCTTTGTTTATTATTTACAGATGAAATCTAAGATGAATCATCTACGTGAAAAATGAATGCACTGGGCAAAATTGTATCTCTGGTGCCTGCAGCTTCTGCAGCATTTGCAGCCCTTTGCATCGAGTGTTTGTAGGGGTGAGCCTGGCCAGCTTGTTCCCTGGTGATGGAAAGCTGATGCTGCCAGTTGGTTTTATGGGCTGTGCAGGGAGCTCTTGAGAAAAGCCTGGCTTAAATGCACGGCGTCAGTGCAGGTAGACGAGATTAAACTTGAATGTAGCACAGGATGAATTTCCTCTCTGGCCACAGATGGCCTTGATGCTCCTCTAAAACCCACATCTGGTGAACTTGGGCTAAGGCTCATGTTTTGGCTAACATGCAGAAGACAGTGTTTATGCAGCCCTGCTGATGTTGCTACAAGACTACATTTTACAGGTAGTGAAATACCTTAGGTGTGCTGAAATATGTTCAATGGTGCTAATACCACTTACTTTGGTAGCTGATGTAACTTTCTTACAGAGATGTCACCATGTCATCTCCCTGCAGGCAGAACTGGTTCATTATTTTGTTGCACTTAAAACTTCAAAGTTACTTTCTTAGTCAATAATGTTCCTCCATTGGGAGGTTTTGCAGTGAGGTTTTATTGGTCTACAACTGTGGATTAAATTTAGCAAACCTCTTCTAAAGACATCCAGAGCAGAAGGAGAGGAGGGCACATATGCAAACTTGATTGTGCTGAAGCAGACTTGTCATCCTGATGCTTAATGCATCATAGTGTCACAGGGCTTGTTTGGAGTTTACAGCTGGCCTACAGTTTGCCTCTAAAACAAGAATCCTTATTGAAGTTAGATGTGAGATTTATTTCTGGTGTCCGTTTTACTGGGAATGGTTTTCAGCTTCAGTCTTTTTCTAAATTCTGCCATATATTAACTCATTTCATGTTTTGTTCCTTTATGTTCAAAGTTCTGCTGTCAGATGTAGGCAGCCCCAATAACACTGTGAATCTGTTAATACATTCACAAGGCCCTGGGGCATTTACAAGCCTTCACTGCTGTTTGTACACTGGAAAGGAGAACTTATTACCTTAATTGAAATGATGGAGGTTATGCAAGGAGCAATAGCTTGGTGAGAGGAGGTTTGGAAGGCTGCTGGATATCAGTTAAAAGATTTGGATAAGAAGTGGATTTGATGAAAACAGGATTTTGAGAAACCAGGACTGGGATGCTGGTTCCTGCATAAGGCTCGGCCTGAAAGAAGGCACTGGCAGAAAAGGTGAAGCAAGGAGATTACTGAGAAGTACAGTGAATGCACAGATTAAGGTATGGGGTGCGCAGGCTAGTGCAGATTCTAGATGGTAAAGAAGTTTCAGCAAGAACAGAAGAGAGAAAAAGGCAAAGGAGCAATGGAATAGCCACAGCAAGGAGGAAGAAAAATTGCGGCCCATATGTTTCATCCTAATTCAAAGGGTGTAGAAGGCTGAAGTCAGTCAAACGTGGGAGGAAAAACCCAAAACCCCAAACAATTTAGAAGAGGAAAATGAGCAAAATTGGGTGAGCTTAGAGAAGCAGTAGTAGGCTGGAGTGAGGAGTGCTCCAGGAGACCTCAGGCAGCACTGGGTAGGTGGCCCAAGCACAGCTCTTGGGAGGGTTCTATAGAACCACTGTGCCTGAGGTCTGGAAAGAATAAAGGGGATTGGGAAGATCAAAGCTCAGACTGATTTTGTGTAATTTCTACCAACAACTCTGTATCCAGTGCTTCCAATGTACTGGGTACAGGTCTCCAGACACTTGCATTGGGGTAACTTGCTAAACCTTCAGTCATTTCCTGGAGCAAACAGAGGCCACTCTTGCAGACAGCACAGGGATGAATGTGCTAATACTAGTGCAAGCAAATAGATCTTGTTAGGTATTCTTTGGATACCACAAAATTCTGGAAAAGTCATTTATAGCAGCAGTCACTGTTGAAACAAAGCCATTGCCACAGTACATTTGAGTGATTCAAAATGATGCATTGTTTGCTTTTCCAAGAGAGAATTAAAAGGATGGGCTTCAATGGTAAAACAATGTGTTACGTAACTTAGAGTGGGAATGAGGAATCATTTTACATGTTTTATTTAAAATAACTTCAATACTCACAAAAGGGAGCGCAATAGCTTTATAATGCCCTTGGTAGCTGTGTGAGTTCCCCCCTTAACACTTAATTTTCTGAATAACTTTTGAAAGTGATTTCTTGCATGGTCAAGACTAGAAAAATCTTCAGGCAAAATGGATAACTTTCTTGGTTCTAAAGGGATGTTACCAACTTAAACTTTCTTGGTTCTAAAGGGATGTTACCAACTTAAATCTGAGTACAGCATTAAAATCTTGCAACTACTCAGTGCTGGATTGTGACTCTGGTTATAACTGGTGTGAATTAATAAACACTCAGCAGAGTAAAATATAGAAATGTTGGATAAAGATGTGCTGTGTCATATATTATCCTGAAAAACTGGATAAAAGCCTTGATAGTGCTTCCCTGGCGGAATGTTGAGTACATTTTATGTTGCAAATTTAGCTCTTTGCAGTTGGGTTCTTTCACATAATGTGCAGCCAACCTTTTAAGGGCCAATCAATGCTTCTCCCAGCAATGCTAATGGAAAATGTCATTGATTTTTAGTAGGAAATTGTCTGTTAATAGTGAATCCAAATGTGTGTGTATAAGCATGTGGGGAGGTCTATAGAGAAGAAAGTCCAGTCCCAATGTAGCTGAGTTGCTTCTGTCTGTAGTACACTGATCACCAACCTGCAGTATAAAACCAGAATTGTTAGCTGCTGAAGGAAAGAAAAAGAAAATTTGTCAGGACACATAAGGTAGCAGAAGTTTCTGCATTTTCACTACCTTTAGAAAAAAAACAGTAAAAATTTAGGTTCTGTGTTTAGATGGTAAAAACAAATTTGTGAGGGGAAAAAACGTAAATTATGAAAACAAAACCACAAAACAAAACAAAACAAAAATCTCCAGAAAACCAAAAAATTCTAAAACACCACAAGATGAAATCCTGGGAACAAGAAATAGAAGAAACTACATGAACTATCTGCTATCTGGAGAGGAATGTTGTTCATGTGCATCTTGGTAGTACACTGCTGTTTTCTTTTTTAGAAGTCAAGTATCTGTTCAATGTACATTTTCCAGAAGAAATTACAG